GGGGTCCGAAAAACCCCTAGGGGTTAAAACCCTAACCCTAACCCTAACATGTCCCCCATTGAGCATGTTTGGGATGCTCTGGATCGGCGTATACGACAGCGTGTTCCAGTTCCTGCCAATATCCAGCAACTTCGCAGCCATTGAAGAGGAGTGGACCAACATTCCACAGGCCACAATCAACAACCTGATCAACTCTATGCGAAGGAGATGGGTGACATTTTAGGGTTAGGGTTTAACCCTAGGGTTTTCGGACCCCCCCAGACCCCCCCAATAAAGCAAAAATGCATGTTTCAGAGTTGCCTTTTATTGCGGCCAGCCTAAGGCACACCTGTGCAATAATCATGCTGTCTAATCAGCATCTTGATATGCCACACCTGTGAGGTGGGATGGATTATCTCGGCAAAGGAGAAGTGCTCACTATCACAGATTTTTTCAGATTTGTGAACAATATTTGAGAGAAATGGTTATTTTGTGTTTATAGAAAATGTTTTAGATCTTTGAGTTCATCTCATGAAAAATGGGATCAAAAACAAAAGTGTTGCATTTATATTTTTGTTCAGTGTAGAACAATGAGGTGCAGCCACATTGAGCTGAGATATGAAGAGCTGCAGGTATATACTCAGCCGGCCTACTAACTACATACACTCTCATACTTTATGAACTGTCGTATGAAACTGCATTTGCTTTCAACAAGAGGGCTGCATACTCTAAAAAAAAATAGTTGTGATTATTTTAACTATAGATACTGTAATTGTGACATAAATAAAATGATGAGTGATTTTTAGTACAATCTGTACAAAACAAGGTTTTTTTCAATACCAATTGTAGGATGTTACTTGCTTCATTCAGAATGTTTTCATAAATCTACCAAATATTGCGCTTACTGCAGTTTGAATATTCACTAGTCCATATTAGGATTTTGATACAATTTTGAATAATTGTGCAGCTCTAGTTAACCCAAATCAACCAGGATTTAAATCTTAAGCATTGCCACTTTAAATGTATTCCTCAAACATAAGGCAAGTAGGTGCAGTTATTACCTATATCACTGTAATTCCTCTCAGATGCACTTGTTCTAGACATGTTTTATATTGCTGTTAAATACTACAAGCAGGTTCTGCAGGGTTGTCATAATATTGACACAGAAAAATTTAAAATTATACTGTTTATTAAACCCTGCATGACTGAATGTGTGTTTGATAGACGTACTGTAGTCCTGTTTTTCATCGTAAGGCGGAGCAGAGTAATCATTGTACGTAGCGTTCCATCGCAGCTCCTGTGTCTTGGTGTCAAACATGGTTATCATGTATTCTGGAGAAGAAAAACAAGGTGTCAGGAGAGCATGAAATTACCTCAGACGTAATTGTGCTGTGTGCGTGTGCATTTCTCTTGCAAGACATGCCTGTGCGTCCAATGTAGAGCAGAGGAGTGTTGGGGCAAATGGATTCAGAGGTGGAGGTGGTTAAACTGGTTTGCTTCTCGCCTGTCTCAGGATCCACCACAAACCAAACATCCTGCTTTTTACCTTCAAGTGCACACATACACACACATTATCGAATAGCCTTGAAGTATTCAAAAATATTTATGTGTCTATCATTCCTCATCTCTGACAACTGTCTCACACAGTCTCACCTGTGTAGAGGATACCATCAGAGCTCCTGCAGGGAGCTGACTGAACCAGTTCTGGTATGGTAAAAGGCAGTTTCTGCAGGTACATCCAAACAAAGGGGTCATAAAATGATACACAAATACAGACTAACACACAAATAAACATGCTGCATGGTTTACCATCAGGCCTTCCTTGTGTTTGCCACCCAGGACATACAAGCTGCCATCGTTGGGGTCTGGGAGAAAACCGGGCCTACAAAAACAACATTCATACTGCCTTTTGATTATTTCAAATATTTCATTACTCTTGCCTCTTTCAGCAGGATACTTTTACATGACCTTCGTCTCAATCAATATGTTTATCTTAAAGAAACAGCTGTATAAGCCTGAACAAAATAATGGGAAAATGGACTTCAATGCTCCTAGGAATTGGTGGCATCTTTACATGTGTGTTACTCACTCTGTGAGGTAGACGGGTACTTGAATAATAGGGTCTGAAAGAAATTAAAAGACAATTTCACGAGCCTTATTTTAAAATAGAAACAAATGTCTATGAATCAGTATTGATGTTTTTGTGTATGAACCTTCTCTGAGGGTCCACTTGATGTCTCCGGACTGTTTGGAGACAGCATGCAGACTGCCGTCCAGAGTGGAGACAAACAGGAGGGATTCTGGGAGAGTGACTGATCTGACCCCTCCAACCTAATGGGCCGTCAGGAAGAGAAGAGAGAGAGAGAAACTTTAAGCTAGTGGTCCGACAGTCACCGTGTCCTATATCTGATATTCCAGCACAGCTTGACTACAGCATGTGTCTGTGTGTGTTTGGGTGTGTGCGTGGTGTGTGCGTGTTTGTCATCTCAGCCAGGGGTTGGCACTCCTGCCCTGCAGTAAGTTTGTGCTCTATTAAAGTCATACTGTGTTTCTCATTAAGCAGGATATCCTGATAACCCCTCCTCCTTCCAACACTATATCCTATACTGGGAACTATTTTATACCGTGTGTGTTCACCACTCCCATATTTACCCACCAGCGGACGGCAACCGGCGACAAAAAAAAAGGAAAAAAAAGGAGCACCACAAGCAAACAATTGCAAACACTGAATCATCAGGTGCTCAGAATTACAATATTGTACTCAGCGTGTGAAATTATTACACAGTATATCATACAGTAATCCTCAATTAGATGTTGATATCCAGGTCACTAATGATTTTTACCAAAAAATATCTCTGTGTATGTATATATACAGTATATAATATATATATATATAGAATAACTTTCTGCCACAAATATATCAAACTATATTTTATGTCACATACATATTTAATGACCATTATTGGAGGGTTCAACCAAGGTTTTCAATAGCAAAAATTGAAATGTCTGTGTATATGATAATGAACAACTTCAAACACACATACACACTCACGCACAGGCACGCGCGCACACACACAACACAACACACACACACACACACACACACGCACACGTACACTCACACACACCGGCAGTATTAACTTTCTTCAAGCAATTTGGACTTAACGCTTAATCATCATATCCTGGCAACTCTACTCGAGCCTGAAATAGACACAGTGGGTTGGCAGTTGCACTCTCTTCTGCCCGAACAGTATTTAACAAGAAAACAACAACAATAACAACAAAAGTGACACCCATACACAGTAGAAACGTTATACCTGAAATAGCTTGCCATCCCAGGAGATCAGGAGGAGAGACAGCAGCAGTCGTCCCAGAGCCCCCATGACCCCCGCAACACTTTGTTTCATGGCTCTGAACAAACCGAGGACTAAACGCTATTCAACTAACAACAGAGGTCGAACTCTCTCTCCATTTCCAGCGCGGAAGGCGTCCATCTCTCACAAAATTAGTTAGCACCGACACAGGCCTTTTAACATCGCTCTGGTAGTCCAAACGGTGAAAGCTGAGCTAGAAGCACCGCTTTGAATACATAATAACAATCTTCACTTGTCACTTTTACATATTTCCGTGTTGGGACGAAACCAGTGACGTCTTGAGCGTACTGTCAAGCTGAGAGGAGGCGGGTCAATCGTGTCCCTGCACGGAGTGGCATGAGTCCCAGCCAATGAGGGGAGAGGTTTGGTACAGAAGGGGCGGGGCCTGAGAAACGACTGGAACACGTGGAAACGGACAGCAGGACAGTTGCAACGCAACAAGAGCGGCTTTTTGTGCAATAGAAACTAGTGGAGGCAGTATTGTTTGTTCACTCTATACACTCCCTACAGCACCTGTGGGCTGTTACTAAGAACATTTACTCAAGAAGTGAACTTGTTTACATTTGAGATAGCCTACTTGTAGGCTCAATTTCTTTATTTACATTTGCTACTTCCATCCAATTCAACTTTTTATATTTTATTTTATTTCCTTTTTATCACCACTGTAAAGTGTCTTTGAGCACCTGAAAAAGGCGCTTAGATTACTTCATGGTCAAATATTGTAGGCCTTCTTTTTACTCCACTACATTTTTGTTAGAGCTTAAGATGCAGAATGACCCTATCAATGGGTAAAATTGTTATGAAAGACCCAACATAAGTAACAGTACTATTTATGTGACATCTGCCCATGCCCAATACACTGTATTAAACAGGCCTGTAATAGATATATGCATGCATACACAAAAATCAGGTCACACCTGCTTGTACCCCTAATATTTTTGGCTACACTGCCTTCCTCAATAGCTATATTAATAGCAGAGGGAGAACAAAAAGAGCACTGGTGAATGAAACGTGATACAAAAAAATATATGAAAACAAAATGTTTAAACTGTAAGATCTTTTGAGTTTGGCTTTTAATAAAAACTTGAATAGAGAAGCTTTTCCTGCTAAATATTGTTTTTAACATTGTAAATTGCTGTAGTACCTTAGTAAAAGGGATAGTTTGGAGGAGTTATAAAAGGTATCCGTAGTCAGTGCATTATCTACCATAATTAACGCGGGGCATCTTCAAAGTTTGGAGAAGACGATAGCAAAGAATCAAAACAATGTACTGCTGTTGACAAGGGCATCAGCAAATGTATTTTTGGCCACCTAAAACAATATCTCTACATGATTAACCTTGCCATCAGTCAGCCTATTCTGATGGGGCCAGACGCCATAAAACTTCTTTACAAAAAAAAACCCTATTTTACTTTGCAGAACACGAGGTTACTGGTCTACCACGGCTTCCATCGCTTAGTTTGCTCTATCATCCATCTGATGTAAGTAATATAATTATGGATAAGTACCTCATACAACCCTTTTTAACAACACACAAACTACCCCTTGAAGTCAATGATCTGAATACGTCTTTCACATACACCGTAAATCTAAAAAGAGAATGTCAAACGGTTACAAAAAACTTTATTTCCCTTCAGAGAGATGAAAGCCAATAGTTGACACCAGTCTTTTCCAATGACTTACCAACATTCTATTCACAAAATACTATTCAAAGTGCCTTTACATGGAGAAACCAGACTGTGATAACGCAGCTTGTAAACAGGTGTGCTTCAGATATGAAAAGATGACAAAAATAAAATAATACTGGCAGGCACTTCTGTCATTTGAGGTATGAAAAAAACTAAAGAACAGCATCAGAGACTGATTTTTAAAGGCATTTGCTGGCTGTGCGCAGGTGGTTGATTCTCGGTGCTGTCTACTGGTGGAGTGTGCTGTCAGGTTTCGGATAGCCAAACAGCTCAAAGTCAGGTTCATACAGCTTGTACAGTTCTCTCCTCATTGCGATGGGAATCTGTGCAAACCAGTCTCTTTCCCAGCTGGCTGCAGTTCGGTTTCGAGCCCCTGAAGGGAAGTGTAGTAGATGATCCACCTCCAGAAGCTTCAGCAGGTGCTCCGCGTCCGTTTCTAAGGATTCTAGTCGTCCAATGAAGTCATACTTCACTTGGCATGGATGGCACAGACGGTACACCTGAAACACACAAAAAGCAGGCATACAATTTGAAAACAACATTAATTTCTGGGTCTGTTAATGACTTTGTTAGTACCAATACCCCTGGCGAGGTTTAAATTGCCACATGTGACTGAGACTGGAAAATAAATCTAGCGGCCCCTTGGTCTTGGAATTACCAGTACGGTAGACTTAAACTCGACTTCCACATCTTTCTGGCCAGTTTTAAACAAATGTTGGCACATTGCTTAATCTGTGTTTTGCTCTTGACCTCTTCTGTTGATGTTAGTGTGATTTGAATTGAACGTTTTTTTTTGTGTAAATAATTACATTAACCGAGCTGAGGCATATGTTATGAAGAAAATAAAGTAGGCCTCATACTAAAATGTGTATGCTGAAATAAATCCCAGACAGCATAAATATGATCATCCAAAGGGGAATTGTACATCAACTCATGAATAATGCCAAGCTGCATTAAGTGCGGCTTTACACTGCTCTGTGAGATAAATACCTGCCGCCAGTGTTCGTTGAAGATACTCTCCCTCTCTGTCTCTGGATCCAGCAGGTATGTGATAAACTGCTGAAACGTCGGTTTGATTCCTGCTGCAAACGCCTCCGCCGCTGTCTCTGGCAAACTGCCCGATAGATTAGCATAACGACGCAGCATGACCGAACCAAACTGCTTGTAGAAGTCCTCGTTAGGCCTGAAAACACACACACAAATACACACACTTTTCACAATTCAGCAAAGATACGACTGCTGTTTAATCAAAAGTGAAGCCCATTCCTCAGCCTCACCCACAACGCAAACACTTACACAGTAACACACCCACTCTGTCTAACCATCCAGTTTTAGACACTCACTTTCCAAACTTGTTCCTGAAAGCTGAGATAAGACGAACAAAAGGGTCACGCACAAACAGAAACTTGGTGTAGTGCTGGAGCTTGAGTGCCATCAGGTGGCGGGACAAAGATCCATAATGCCTCCAAAACCTGGAAAAAGACACAAACAGGAACACGAGAGCAGATCTTCAGCGGCGTTCTTTTTGAGTTGTGATTTTAATGTTTTAGTTTTATGCAATAGATACATAGATTATCCTATTTACTGTGCCTTTTTTTCATATGTTTTCTCATATTTTTTACTGATTTGTTATTATGCAAATCCTATGATTCCATAACACGAGCCCTTGAGGAGTAAACGATTTGTTTTTATATCAGTGCACAGAGAAAAACACAGCTTTATAAAGGAAGTGGAAAAAAAAATTCCAAGGTGAGAAATCATACAGTAAACATTATGGTTTGACACCCAGATTAAATGGTTTATTTTCCTGTTTGTCATTGAGGTGTGTGGTTTGTCTGGCATTTAGTTCTTGTCAAGACACATTTTTAGTGTCACTGTTTTCCTTATTGACTTGTGGAAGAGATTCCTTTACTGAGGTGTTAAATTATTGTGCAGGCTTGGTTTCTTTTGTAGGGATTTTGTTGGTGTGGGCTAAAAGTTTTCTTTAAAACACGTCTTTTATCCAAATTCATTGCTTGGTCGTGCAGTATAATATTCAACAAGTTTCTGTGTAGAATTATTCCTTGTGTGGTATAGCCAAACATCTTTGCTCAAATATAATAAATACACCTTAAAGTTATAATTTTAATGACAGAAGTTACTGTTTATATTCATGGGCGTCGCAGCCATTATATGAGGGTGGGACAAGTCCCCCCAACCTTTTAAAATGATTAGTTTAGACCCCCCCACTTTTACTATGCGGAAAGTCAGTGAATCGGTCTATCCGCTCGCAACTCGTTGTAGTGCGCTGTGTCAGTGCTTCATTATCAAATCCATTCCACTTGCTTATTGTGAGGAAGCCCAAATCAATGAAATTCCATACCATGTTTTCACTGCTACTTTGTACCAAGGCAGATTCTCAGAGCCGTACACATGAGCCGTACACATGGTGCGTTTTTTGTGTAGCTGTGTCTTTAGTTGTAAAATGATGCGCTAACAGTTCACGAGTGTGCTCCACTAGCACCCGGATATAAGGCGCTGTTATTAAAGAGGTGGAGGGAGAGTCCTCTCCTGTCAGACTGAGAGGCTGATAACTACAGCTCAGTGAGGTAAAGGACTCTCTGAGGGTTTAGATCAGGGCTATTCAACTACACATTCAGTTGGGCCAGATTTTATAATTACAAAATTCAGCTGGGCCAGACATTCAGCGGCCTGTAAAAAGCGGGTAGTGACACATTTTAAACAAACACATATTACTGCGATGAAAAACATGCCATTTTTATTCATTGTTAATCTAACAAAGGTACGTCAAGAAGTGCATAAAAACACAACAAATTAGCATTAATTTAACAGAATCTGAAAAAAAAGTGCACAGTTGTAGCATTACATTTGTTTGCTTTAGAAGTCAAATATTCAGGTTATTTTTTTTTTTAACCAGGCACATCACAGAGTGCATTTACTGAATACAATATTAGCAGTCTTAATACATTTCCTGACATACAAAAAAAACAGCTAAAGAGAAATGCAACACAAAGAGGTAGTACTGTAGCAATACTATTTTTTCACTTTTCAAGTAATAACAAAAAAATCATACGTTTTGGTCACATTTGACCCAGACACATTACAAAGTGCATTTAAATGAATACAGAAAGAACTGTCAAACCCTTCAGTGCACAAACCCATAACAAGGGATACGGGTAACTATATGAATGAATACTACACTACACGTCGACTATAGTAAACTACTCTAGGTGCTTACTATCACCTCATTTGTGATTTGTCATCGCTGACTTTCTCAATGGGAGAAGGGACATTTCCCTTCTCCCATTGAGAAAGTCAGCGATGACAAATCACAAATGAGGTGATAGTAAGCACCTAGAGTAGTTTACTATAGTCGACGTGTAGTGTAGTNTTGTCCGGGTGTTTTGATTTTAAGTGGTGGAGTAATCCCGAAGTGGTGAAAGTCTTTAGTTACACCCCCTCGAGAAATGTCAGCTGAACACGTTTTACAAATCGCAATCCGCGCCTCTCACTCTGATATTTTTGAAATATCTCCAAGCGGCAGACATGTTGGCTGTGAGCCAGCGGCGAGCATGGTCGCGCGCCGTGCTTGCCGCCGCGTTTTGATTACGTCATCACAACAACACGTTAGGTTACCAAACTTACAGGTGCTATTGTTGTTGTTGAAGGTCTGGCTGTTACAGTCTTTATTTAAACTATATTTGTTGTAGGCCTACTGGCCTAGATGTTTATGTATTTTTAAAGCACCTTGGCTTTGTTCTGAATGCACTTTGTTGTAGTTATCCTACAGAGAAAAGAAAATGCACTTGACTTGGAATTAATGTACTGTATGCATTCAAAAGTGCAGAATAGATGTTTTATGGACCCATAATAGTGATTATTATTTAAGTTAAGTTTTGCCATAATCATGTCTTTTTCCATAATCAGGTAGCTGAACAACATTGGTAAAAAATGTATACATTATATATATATATATTTCTATTAATCATTTTCGGCATTCGGTTTTCGGCTAACTGTTTCCTATTTTCGGTATCTGTTTCAGCCAAGAATTTCCCATTCGGTGCACCCCTAGAAACTGATGCACCCATTAAGATTTAAGAATGTTGTTCTCATGAAGTTGTTTCAATGCAAATCTTAAACTAGAAAGGAACTCTGGAGGCCAACTGTCCGGTCTTCCATCATATGCAAACAAAACCACTACATTTGGAAATATTTCCAAAACTATAGAATCGTGTCAAATATGGTTAAGTTAAGGTCTTCTAAATTAGAATATCACATGTCCATTGGTGAAAACAATTTGATGCATTATGTATCTGACAGATTGAAACAAATGTTGTGAGAAAAAAAATCATGCAAGTTACTTGCTCAAAAATACTGAAGGTCCTGGTTCAAAAGTATTAAATAAATCTGCTTAAATTATTAAGTATGATTGATGACTAATGTTAGATGGACGGCATTATTTCTGAATTGTCTGAGGCTCAATGTGTGGTTGTTGTGTTTGTGTGCAGGTATGTGGTGACCTTCAGTCCTCTTATGGACACCAAGGAGGACCCGCAGGCCATCATCATCTGGGACATCCTGACCGGACAGAAGAAGAGAGGCTTCCACTGCGAGAGTTCAGCACACTGGCCCATATTCAAGTCAGTTTGGCTCTCTCATTGTCCACATTTATTTAACCTCAATGTTGGATTCACATTCGTTTCTCGAGCAGTGTTTTCAATATGTTATAATGCTAATGTTTTTTGTTCAGATGGAGCCACGATGGAAAGTTCTTTGCCAGGATGACCCTAGACACACTGAGCATCTATGAGGCTCCAGTAAGTACATTTAATGTAAAAATTACACTTTTATTTATTTATGTTAAGTCTGCAAGAGACATTAAAGCCATGTTTCTGCTCCTTTCAGTCTATGGGCTTGCTCGACAAGAAGAGTCTCAAGATTACCGGCATCAAGTAAGTGTCTTTGATCATGTCTTTTACGATTTGTTTGTCCTGATTATAAACTGATAGCTTTCTATATAGAAATGTTGATATTAATCCGTATGTTTGTGTATCTACAGGGACTTCTCATGGTCTCCCGGTGACAACATTATAGCGTTCTGGGTCCCTGAGGACAAAGATATCCCAGCCAGGGTGACTCTGATGCAGATGCCTACCCGCCAGGAGATCCGTGTCCGCAATCTCTTCAATGTTGTCGACTGCAAACTGCACTGGCAGAGAAACGGAGACTACCTGTGTGTGAAGGTGGACAGGACTCCTAAAGGAACCCCGGTAAGTAAACAGCCGGAGAGAAGGAGGAGAAACAGCTGAGACCTCACTGGTTGGGAGAATTCTTTTTTTAACATTTATTTCATCTTTTTCAGGGCGTGGTCACCAACTTTGAAATCTTCCGCATGAGAGAGAAGCAGGTTCCTGTTGATGTGGTGGAGATGAAGGGTAAGAGTTTAGTTATCCTACCTTATATTACTGTTAATTGCTAATGTTGCTTTGTTTATTTATTGTGTAAAAAAAATCATCAATGTGTACCTTAATGCTTTTGGAAAATTGTTGTAGAAACGTTTAGGCCAATATAGCCTTTGAAAGTCATTCAGTTAGAATTTAAAGAAGTGTTTTCTAATTAATTTTCCTGTAGAACCGTGTTTAATTGTTTCTTGTGTTTCTGTCCATCCAGAGGGCATCATAGCGTTTGCATGGGAACCCAACGGCAGCAAGTTTGCTGTTCTCCACGGAGAGCCTCCCAGGATCAACGTCTCCTTCTATCATGTCAAGAACAACGGCAAGATCGAGCTCATAAGTGAGTATATAGGGCACATGCTAAATGTCCTATTGACATCATGTTTCACAGTCTCATGTGCAGTTAACCTCCACCAAATGTGACAATTTGTCCTTTTTGTCTACAGAGACGTACGACAAGCAGCAGGCCAACAGCATCTTCTGGAGCCCCCAGGGACAGTTTTTGGTGCTGGCCGGACTCAGGAGGTCAGTGAAAGTTGTGTGATTGACAGAAACAAGTAGCCACTGATGACATAATAAATAACTGACACAGCGTATGAGAGCTAAGCTCCTGATTCTAACTCTGATCTGAGGCTCACAGTATTTTATATATGCACTTGTGACTGTCCTCCTGTGTAACTGTGTGTATAATCTTTTATTTGTTCCTGTGTCTGCGCGTGCAGTATGAATGGAGCTCTGACCTTCGTGGACACGTCAGACTGCACCATGATGAACATAGCAGAGCACTACATGGCCTCCGACGTAGAGTGGGACCCCACCGGGCGCTATGTCGTCACCTCCGTCTCCTGGTGGAGCCACAAGGTACGTGGCGCTCTGTGGATGCTTGATGCTCCTTTCCTTCCAGAGCTGAATTCACTGTTGATGGGTGTGAATTAATAATGAGCCTTTATTCATATATTGTTTCGTGTGTGTCTAGGTGGACAATGCATACTGGCTGTGGACGTTCCAGGGCCGTCTACTTCAGAAGAACAGCAAGGACCGCTTCTGCCAGCTGCTCTGGAGATCCAGACCTACTACTCTGCTCAGTGTGGAACAGGCCAAGGTACCATTTAAAATATATATATATATGTATAGACTGTGTATGTGTTTGTGTAGCCAGTGATGACAGACTAAAATACTTTTCTGACACCTCGTATGAGAGCTGCACTGCGGCTCCTGATTCCAACTCTGATCTGAGGCTCACACCATCCTGTGTACCAGTGCAACACATAAAACTCCATTTTATATTTGTCGTATGTTTTCATTTGTGACTGTGGAAGCTTCTTGTAAAATGGGTGTCCCTCTTTCTCTTGTAGACCATCAAGAAGGATCTGAAGAAATACTCCAAGATCTTTGAGCAGAAGGATCGTCTGAGTCAGTCCAAGGCTTCTAAGGTTCGTCTAGTTCCTTTATTTAACTGTTTCACTCTGATGACACATCAATGTCCTACCTTTTTTTATTTACTATTTGGGCCATTTCAGTATTTTCTCCTTTGCTTTATTAACCACTTTGTTAACAAATATTATAATGAAATTGTGGGATTTAAAATGTTTCCATCATGAAGAGATTTGAATGCTCTCAAACTCACCATGGAGTAAAATGTTAGTTTTCATACTAGAGCCATCAAGGCAGGGCAACATTATTCCTATAGCACATTTCGTAAATCAAAGTGGTTTACACAATAATACAAATGCAGGTAAGACAGAAGATTAACAAGAGACGACAAAGCTTCGCCATCCAGTTATTCAGAACAACTTATTGAGCATGTTTCCAACCCCGGATATCGTTCTGTTTTATGAAACTGAATGTTTAATTTGTTTGAGTAGGAGCTGGTGGACAAGCGCAGGTCCATGATGGACGACTACCGTCGCTTCAGAGAGACAGCGCAGCAGACCTATCTGGATCAGAAGGAGGCCCGGCTCGAGCTCAGAGGAGGTGGGACCCTTTTCTCACATGTTGTACTCCTCTCTCTCACATGTTGTTCCCTCCCTTCACAGTTTTTAACTTGGATTAAGAAAACTAATGACTAATTCCTGTGTTACAGGAGTGGAAACTGATGAGCTGGACAGCAATGTGGAAGACTGGGAGGAGGAGACCATTGAGTTTTTTATCAACGAAGAAATCATTCCCTTTGGAGATCTGTAGTCCCCTACGCAGGTAACCATCAATGTTGTATATTGCCAACAAACAGTTCACATTTATTCAAAGATTCCAAAGTGTGTAATTTTATAGCTTCCAGTGAGTGGTTTGCCTTGTCCGCATGTTTAATAACTGTTAAATGGTCATATTACATCAGTTAGAACAAATATATATTTTCATTTACCCGTAGATATGTCTGACCATGTTGTTATTTTTTTATATTTTAAATTATGTATTCAAGAATGTGATACTCAAAACAGTGAAAAGCTGCTTCAAAACTTAACAACAAAAATGTTGTAAAAACACCCACTTAATTTTGTGTAAAAAAAGGTATGCGCCTTCAATAGCTTCTAAATCTCATATTTGAATGAAAAAAGGCTGGTTTCTGTTATCTGCCAACTCATTTAGTCTTTGTCTAGTTTCAAATTAATATTACGAAAGTTGCTCTTGTTTTTTGTACTCGAAGAACAAGAGCAACTTTTATTCATCAAGTTCCTGCTGAATTCCTGCGTCACAAAGATGAGCGAGTCGGAACACAACAGCAACAAAGTGCAGCCAGTTTCCATTGAATAGATGGACTATGAAAACTGTGGAGAGCATGTTCTCTGGATCAGTGATGGGGACTGTTTCACTGAGAGCCATTGTTGTTGAGATTTACAGCAGCATTTTCTGTGTTTTTTTTAGCAGCACAACCTAGAATACAGTCATCTCCATTGTATTAGGAAGTAGCAGAAAAATTCAACATTTGCACAATGAATTCAGCCTTTTAACGGTGTTCATGCGAAACCCGGGGATCGTGTATTTTGAAATGTTATTTCCATGCCTGAAAAGATACTTGGAACAAAACTGAAAATGTCACAAAGTCATGGATTTTTTTTTTTGTCACCAATGTTTTTATTCTCTATTTATTACGTTTAATTATATCCCAAATTGGAACACAGAAATAAAGTCGAAATTCAGTACACATAGTTATTTCCCCATAAACCTAAATATTAGTCATATTGTCCATTTGTGATGCCAGCTCTCTCAAATAACCATGCTATTAAGACCTTGTACATATTTGCTCATCAAAATTCAGGGGGAAAGTCATGAAATACATTGACTCAAATGTGGAAGAACCATACTTTGGGAGCAACAGCTATGTACTATTCTCTCAATCAGTTTTATGTAAACAACTAATGCACCCTGATTTATCTTGTCTTTCTTTGTCTCAGTTCCGATTTTGTGTGGAAGGAGGAGAGGAACTGCGTCATTGATTGGAGAAGGACGAGGACCACGCTGTGAATAATTGGGGTTCACGAGCCTCAACGTTCATCTTTAGTGACATCATCAAAGCACGTCTCATCGAGGGACAAGAGAGGATACTTCAAAATGTTCCCATTGACTCTCACCATCATCCGCCCACTTTTTTTCGCTCTGTGGATCCTGAAATTTAGTAAAACTGCCTGCTTCTTTTTTTATTCATTAATTGGAGTCACCTGCCCTCTATTCTCAGCCCCTCTCTTATTGGACCGTCTTTTTCCAGGGGTTGTTTTAGGAACTAGCTTCACCATGCTAGTGTGTTATCACAGGGCAGCACAGAGTGGTGTAACAGTGGGGGGGGAAGGTGTTGTGACAAAACAAGTAGCCTTCTTTATAAACGTGCTGATGTGGCACTATAGTGGCCTGTATCCTCCTCCTTTCAGACTAGGCTTTCACACAGGGAGGTGGTGCGAAGTGGGAATAACTTTAAATAAACATTCAAACAGAAGATACCTGAATTTGTCTAAGTGTTTGTTTTTTATTTGTAAAGGGGAGCATCTGAATCTAGTGCTGTTCAGACCAGCTGGAGCAACAGGACAGAAAACTACCAACATATTTAATAATCAATTTATCATTCTAGTAATTATCTAGAGCTCCAACAACTAGTTGATAGATACAACAATTATTCTAAAATGGCAGCATCTCAACTATGGGGATTTCCTGCTTTCATATGTTTTATATCCCATTTATCTGAATGTTTGGCATTTGAACTGAAAAAATAAGATGTTTACAGCTATGAGAAACTTGGATGGCCTTTTTTTTCACAGTTTTCTCATTTTATTCACCAAACATTTAATCTAATAAAAAATCTACCGGATTAATTGATTATAAATAGTGTTTATCTGAAGCCTTAGATTATTTGGAGTTGGAATAAATTCAATATAAGAGCTATATTACAAAGAAAAAAACGTTTTCTTAGAAGTCAAGCTGCTGGCATAATTTCTGTCGACCATACACAACCATTGGTAAATGTACTGGGCATGTACATAATGCAATGCTTATTACAAAAACTACTGCTGTAGCCTTTAAATCTCCTTTTTAAGCTTTTGTTCTTTCATTCACTTGTCTTCAGTTCATGAGATGAGTATAAACCTTATTGTTTGTAAGAGAAATCTCATTTCATAAACGGATAAGTCTTCTCAGAATCTGCTGTTTTTAAAGCGCATCCTAAAACTGAGTTTCCTCCAGAGGTCACTGCGTCAGAGGTTTAAATAAACCATTGACTGATCCCTTAAGCTGTCACTAAAATGTACTTCAGATGATATAAATATGTCTCTCTCACTATAGTTCAAAAATATTTGTAAGTCAAAGTCACACAATGCTTCACATTGAATGCATTTTGTGGTCCTGGAAGATGCAGCAGAGATCATAGGTTGTCTATTCTTCTGGACAGCTGGCCTCTCATTAAGCTGAAAGTGTTCCTCATGCATTTATGAAGCCATCCCTACCATGACTGACGAGTCATTTAATCTGCTATGGGAAGGTAAAATAAGTATAGTTTATTTTGTGAGATAAATACACTGTTCTGAGATTGTGGTTAGGTTAACTGTTGCTTGTCAAATGGCTTGATTTGCGTCACTGTTCTGAAGACAAACCAATCCTGCAGCATACAGACAGCAGTTGGTTCTCCATGTGCCAACAGCTTTAAGGTTCATTACTCATCCACAGGTCTAATGTTTGGTTCCACTTTAAGTATTGACTCTATAGCTGCAGGGATCTTTCACCTCATTAACCTAACAGCTTAATGCATGTACAAATGTTCACTGGGATGTTTGTCTCAGTGAACAGAATAGTTGACTTGAAGAATTAGTCTGACAGGTAGGAACTCAGTGTAACGCCCACAAATGTACCTTACCATCTGTTACATGTTACTTGAACCATGTCCTAAAATGTTGCAATCTTTTATTTAACTTAAAAAAACCTTTGAATTAAGTTATTTGCTATATTTTGGATTGCACAAGCTGTGGAAGAAGTACTCAGATCCTTAGCTTAATCTAATTCAAAGCAGTGGTGGACATTAACTAAGTACAATACTATGCATGTCATCTTTCGCTCTGACGCAGAAGCCCAGCCCTGGGCAGCCGCTATCTCCCATAAGGAGGGGCTGCCCTAGCATTTTGTTGTTGTTACCAGTTTATGACCGGGCAACTCTCGGTTAGAGATAGTTATTGTTATGGGACACCTGGAACACATCCTTCTCGGGGTGTAGATGACCCCGAGCTATAAGCGACAACAAATGTGATTCAGTGTCCCTCAGCTGTTTAGTCTATCTATTGAACAATGTTGATTATTACACTCTGAACTAGTTAAAACGTTGAACTACAGAAGGGGTCTTCAGAATTGATTTGGCATCTCTACCGTGTGGTCAGACCGTGGCCCTACTTGTCTTGTGAATTCTCCGGCCGAAGCACCAAATAAACCGTCAGTGTTTGCCATCAAAGCTCCAGCTCTCCTCGTGTCTCTCTGAGTCCTGTTTCCAATTGCTTCAGAAGTTTCCCCCACACTTCAGTTCAATTATAAGGTCCCTGTACTTTGGTATTTTCTTTTCCTGCTTCTTATACTACTTTTCCACTACAATTCAGAGATCAATATTGTACTTTTAATTCCACAATATTAACTTACTTTGCATAAACAAGCAGTCTAAAAAGTACTTAAATTAGGCCATTGTTTACCAGCTATACAACAAACATTATAAATGCACCAATAATTACAATATTTTTGTATATATATTATTCTGAAATTGGCCGCTCTGCATGATGAGTACTTTTAATTTGTTGTACTCCAAAAATATATTTTAATGCTTATACTTTTGTAATTTGACTTACTTATTATGAATGCAGGATAGTAGGATAGTTATTCTGTTATATGCTGTAAGAAAACATTCTGTTTAATGTAGAATGTCACTTTAGGAGACAAACAATTTTAGTCAAATAAACAGGACAATATTTCTTCTGGGAACAAACTGTAAATCTGAGAAGGTTGTGGCACCATCCAAGATATTTTACTTTCTGGGGGAAATGCCATCTTTGACTTTTTTAGTAACGGGATCTGTGTGTTTTTAACTTTCAGTCGACAGCCGCCTCGTGCTTCTGATGTGGAGACAGCAGCCAACCCATCATTTCCCCTTCAGCTCAAAGATGTTATAAATACTAAGAGACAGCTCTTCATTTAATCATGGGTTATTCCATGTTTAGGCTTTTATGACTCGCAAAATAAGTCCAGAAAAGTAGAGAGCATTTACACACATCTTCCAGGTAAATAGATACACATGTTCAGTGTGATGAAAGTCAGTACAATAGCTCTGGAATAGCCTAAATATCCCATTATATTCTAATTTTGCTTGTTGGTTATTTTGTGCTTTGATACAACTTTATTTATTCAGATCTGATGAAGAGCAGTTGTGATTGAAACATCATATTGGAGCCCTGCAGTGTGTAAGCCATTTACTCTTTGTCCATTGTCTGCTCACCTTCTGCTTATCACCTGTCCCATTAGAGTTGAACATACGTGCACACTCCTTTTTGTAAGATGATATCAACTGAGTACCTGAAGTTCACAACAATTACAAAGAAGTAGACTGTTGCAAATGAAAATCCTGGATAGGCTCCCCCCCAACGATGCTCATTTTTAAATAAAAATAAAAATGAATCAAAAAAAGCCTAAGGAACTAGCATAAAATAGAGCTAAAATACATAAATAATATGCAAGAAAATTGATATGAGCTACATTTGTGGTAGACAATATTAATGAATAAACAGAGTGTAGCAATATAGTAAATTATATCTATGCAAAACAAGAAGTATTTTACTGAGGCATATACAGTATGTAAATAGTAAGTCTTGATTTAGTCTATAATTGGCAAATTCGGATTTAGTAGGCTATCTTTTGTAATTTTGACATTTATATGATAAAAACGTCTCATTATTTGACTAACCATGAGCAGGCTATAAATAATACTATTTTTTGTATCTTTTTGGCGCCTTTATGAGGCCTCCCGAGGGTCCCAGGACCTTACTTTGACTGCCATAGGCGTAGGCGGGTTTATGGTTTCATAGCCTAAATCCGGACAGCATGTGTTTGGAACTGGAGTGTGTGGCTGGATGTTCTTCAAATAACGCGAGATTTGGCTTCGGTCTGTGGAGAGAGCAGACCACCACAGTCCTGTCTGTGGATCCCACCCGGTCTCATCCACCGGACAGACGGACAGAGAGAGGGATACCTAGCAGCGACAAAGGGCTGACCGACCATGGAGCTCATCTGCCGGGTAAGAAAACACCCTATATTTAGGTCACTTGCAGTATTTATTCTCAGACAGATTAATGTGCAGACTCGTTTAATTTTCGCCGTGATGCTCCCGGTGTGAAGGGCATAAAGGGAACAGAACCAACCGGGCTGTTCGTGCACCTCAGAGGCGGCGTGATGAGGCTGTTTGTGTGGGGAGGAAGCGGAGGAGACTGTGGAGAAAAAACAAATTCATATATTCTATCCTCGGCTGTTGCATGTAAACTAACAGGAAAGTGTGCGTTTGCATGAGAGAGGTACAGTGTCCGCAACGGCCGGTGAAAGGGCACATTGTAACATGTGTACTGTATAAATTAGTTTTTTTTCCGACCGAGGTCTAGGAGGAGGAGGTGATGGTGGGTCCTGTGCGAAATAGAAAAATATTAACTCAATTAAAGCAGTGTCTGCCTTCCTTCATGAATAGCACACGTAAAAAAACAGCACAAGTATAGTACCCGAGTAGTGTTATAAAACTTGTGTAGTGCATACTTGGCACTGAGCTCAACCGACACTGTCCACATACATTGTTGTTCCTTTTTTATTTTGCGTGTGTTTGTTCGCACGTGTGTTTAAAAAAACAGCGCGTGCCAAGCCACGAGAGTGTTTGTAGATTTTGATTTCTCAAAATACGGCCCTCCAGTCAACGTGGAGTTTAAATTGAAAACTAAGTGGAAAGAAAAACCGCAAAGAAAACTATAATTTTCCAAAAATATGAGCCTTTCTCTATGAGAACCCTGTCTGGGTGGTATTCTGCTTTTATTAGGACCCTCGTTTTTCCACTGTTTTCCCTGACAGCAGATGTTTTTATGGGACAATAAGGGGAGTAAATCCTCCACAGGCACTGGACTGAAGAGCCTCCACCCCCACACGGTTGTTCACATCTCCGTGACAGCTGAGCGCACCGGGCGGAGCTTGAGGTTCCCACGGCCCCTGGGCAAATTCACACCGGTCAAAAAAAAAATCTTTTGTGACACATACTTGAAAAATATTCACTTAAAGATTATACCCAAAGGCCATCACACTTTGATGTCATACTGTAGAGACTAAGTTCAACTTTTGACATGGTTTAGATAATTAGAAATAACTCTAATGTATATTTACAATAGTTTATATATGATTTATCTCTGAAATTAAGTTGTAGTATAGAGTAGCATACTACACATTAAGTACTTGCTAAATGTACTTGGTTGTATTTCACCACGAGTTCCCAGTATGTGTTTCGTGTTGCGTTTCATTTTCTAAGAATACATCAGTTGTCATTCCAGTTCTTGTATTTTTACTTGCTTCATAATTTTACCTCATTAGGGCTGTAAAAGCAGGGGTCTAAGTTACATTTCCTGTCTCTTTTTTAGTTGCAGCTGGCAAGCAGGAAGTGCGTCCTTCCGCGATAGGCCGCCACCATGGAGCTGAGATAACCTCTTCCTCTTTTCTGCACCAATCACTGCACCCGATCAAATATAACCATGGGAACATGGCGTGGACTACGAGTGGCGTTTATCCTGGGGTCTTTGTTTATGATCCTGCTGATAATCGTGTACTGGGACGACGTCGGGGGCTTCAACCTCTACCCCCTACAGGAGCCCAAACATGAGTCATTGCACCCTCGGGCGACTGCTGGGTCCCCGCACTCTACGTCCAGACCCCAGAACAGTTCTTCCTCCCCCGTCCCCACTACTGCTCGCAGCACAACACTGGTGTCTGAGGAGACTGGAGGAGCAGCTGAGGAGCTTACAGAGGAGGAGGGGAAGGAAAAACAAGAACAGAGACAGCAGGAAACAAGGGAGGATGAGGAGAAGGGAAGGAGTCGTACTACTGCGGACAATAGGGAGCAAGAGGACAGGAAGCAGAGGATCATGGGTGTGTGTTCTGGGAAAGACGCTGTTGAATTCCCCGGAAGTACCCGGCCGTTTGAGCAGATCCCAAACAGGGAGCTGGATCACCTGATAGTGGATGACACCCACCAGATTATCTACTGTTATGTTCCCAAGGTACAGCTGCCTTGTTTATGTGTGTCTATTTGTAGAAACATGTAGGTTGTGAACACATGTGGGCGGTGATTTAACCGTGAGTGGATGTAAGTGTAAAATAAATAACAAGAAGACAAGAACATTTAAATCATAGTGAATGTTTACTGAAGCATTTTGCCACTGGTCAAAAGACACATTCACACAAGTTTACAGCTCCTCTTGTTTTTCTGAACACTTTTCATTTCCTTTTTCTTTTCTCCATCTTTATTCTACGTTTAGGTGGCGTGCACCAACTGGAAGAGAGTGATGGTGGTCCTGTCTCAGTCTCTTATCTCGCCCTCCTCAGGAAAACCTTACACCGACCCGGAGGCTGTTCCTCCTGACCTCGTACACAACTCCTCTATCCACCTCACTTTTGCCAAGTATGACACACACACATACACACATACACACACACACACACACACACACACACACACACACACACACACACACAAAATATGTACACAAAGACAATTTCATAAAAGGTATTTTTATGTTATCCGTTAAATACATTTTATTTGTATAGGGATTAGCAAGGGCCACAGTCAGGAATATGGTAATATATCCAAATCCCTCTAATGCCACCTGCACAAAAATAATATATTTGTAATCCCTCCGTAGACTAAATTATGTTTTTGAAATGTTTCTGCACATTGCACAGCTATAATTCTGAGTGGAGAATTACTAAATCTTCATTACTTGCTTTTATTAAATACATTTAATCTAAAAACAGAAGTAAGCCTCCATCTTAAAAACCTGCCACGTGGGATTTATGTGATTGCAGAATGACCTTGTTGACCTCAATGGTACCAATCATACCTACTTTTAAAACTAATCTCCTATTTGCAACTGTTGCATCATAATAATATCATTATTATTTATCAATTACAATCGAAAGACACCATAATCATTTATTCCATGAATGAGCTGCAGACTAGGTAAAACTCAAGTGTTGCTTAGCTTTCATCAACATTTAAGCAAAAAAAGGGAAGGGGCACTTTAGTTTGAGGTGATGGCCTGCAGTATTAAAGAAGCATCAAGTGTTTGCAATAAATATAAACATGGGCGTAGGAAGCATCCTCAATGTGGGTGGGACAATTTGACAGGGGGTGGGCAGGTGGTTGACCTCACCTCCTCTAGGGGGGTCCGGGGGCATGCTGCCCCGGGAAGATTTTTTTTTAAATGTTGAAGTTAAATGCATCAATCTGCTGCACTTTGAGAGCAACATGAGGGACTAAATCTATGGATACATCTCTCAACACATATGAAACAGAACTGAACAGATTTACTTTTTCTTTATGCATATTTTACAAATCACTCTCCTTTTAAACTGTAGTATGAGTTGGAATTATTTCATACCTGTTCTTCTCTTATTTTGTATAACTATAATGATCATATAAAGGTGTGCCTTGGAAATACTTGTTTTGCATCAATCTTGATACAGGGTACTTATATGTTAGCATGGATTCCTAAAGCTTTTAGTCTACTATCCCATCATTCAAGGGTGGTTTTCAATATAAGTAATGGTTTATTTTTTGGACGGACACTATAATTTACATTTTTTTACTATGTTCAATCTGAATTTACTTTAAAAACATTTATATTGATTCTGACTTTTTTTTACATCCAACTGACAGACATCATTGCTTTGAGAAAAAATATTATTCATTTACCCATTTTAGAAGTGAAGATATAGTCAATTGTTCTGGGAGTGTCATTTTTTAGCCTGAGACCTGAAAAACAGGCTCGGGGCTTAACTGGTTAAAATGTTTTACCATAATGTCTAATTGTGCATTGTATTACATGGCCACATTTTATCTAGTTTAGCTTTTCTTGTTTCGTTGTTTGTAATGGCAGAGATTAGGGATGAATAAAGTACAACTATAACCATAATCATATTAAAGTATTTCAATCCATAGAAAGGTCTGTGACACGCTATTTCAGTAGAGGAACACTTTATTGCCTTTTGTTTTACAGTCACGACTCGCACTAGCTGCTTGCCGCTCAATCAAAATCAAAAGACCCCCAACTGACTTTTCATTTAATACATTTTAACGGCTGCAATCGTTACTTTTCCCTAAAACCTGAAGTCAAGCTACTGTTGGTATTTCGGAGATCCTTTCCGGAATAGTTTTTCAAAATAAACTTTAACCACAGGCGTAAGCTAACCGGAAGTATTTTAACAATAAAACAGTTAAAAGTACTGGTGTTTAGTCTATCTTATATCATCAAATATTGATTTTAATTTTTAACAATCCCTCCTTACAGACTCTTTTAGGGTATGTAAATAATACTGAAATCAATGAGTTCTTCATCTGAACTTTGCATAGTACATAACTCATATAAAAAACATACAATCAAAATGGAATGGTTCAATAACCGTCATAAAAAATACAAAAAATACTTTGGTTGGTCTTCAACATAAAAGTGTTTCTTTGTGCATAACTTCTAGTGTTAACATTCAATATCATTCTTCAAAATAGCAGCAATTAGCTTGGTATCAGAACATATCTTACTCCCTCCTTTCACATAAATTGTTCTCATACTACATCAGTGTTAAAGCACTTGTTTTTTACAAAGTATAAAAGAAACAAACTATTTTACAAAGTAATACAACACAGACAGGGGGAAACAAACAAACACAAAGGAGACGGCTGGAGCAGTACAGCCACCACAGCGTTACCTAATGCAACTCCACACTACGTCTTACGGTGCCGTGTACCGGAGGGGAGAGAGAGAGAGCAGCGAAGGGGGGGAGAGAGATGTAATACGGTTTCCTGATAAAGCTGTGGAGAGTATGTGCTGCAGGGAGGTGGATGCACAACGCACCCAGGAACGAACGCTAGCTCCGGTCCTTTTTACTGTGGACTCTATGTCCTGACAGGCTGGTATTTGTGAAACCTGCACAAACACAATACTGCACCATGATTACAAATGGTGAAATACAATGTAAAACTACAGAAAAATACCAGCTCACTAAAACACAACGCAACTACTAACTATACCCGCGGTCAGAGAGCGGAGATGTTTACCCTTTGTTATGTAATATGACGCGTTTGACGTATGACCTTAAAAAAAAGCCGTTTTTAAGAGCAGAGCTCAAAATTGCTCCTTTCCCTCTGAATTCCTGCCCTTATGTCTCGTAAAACATATCAAATCCTACATTCACTTTTTTAATTGTAATTTTCAAGCAAGTTTAAGCATAAATGTAGAAAAAAAAAAACCTGCAAGATGCTCTTTAAAGTGTTTCATCAACCCACTCTCTTCAGTCTGCGTACAAATGACACAACTTTACACATTGTAAAATGCGTGCAATAGATATGCTAAAGTCCGATTTTGCGTGCCTATATACGCCAACTATTCCCATTGAGTTCTGAGTCCGAGTTTTGCGTGCATTTGAGACTCATGGATACGGTCGTGTCTGAGAAGACCGTAAGCTGTGTGGTCCATAAAAACATGTTATTACTCAATATCAAGCAACGATTATTGATTTTATTTGTAATCGTATAATTTCTGACTTTTTTTGCCGTCCGTGAGGAAAATAAATGGGGCTCAGAGCCTCAAAATACTGAAATCCGTATTGTTTTTAATCTTTTTTTCCTTCGAATTTGTTATCCTTTTCTAAATAACACACTGTTATTTACTCAACAATAACACACAATTATCCTTGTTTTTATCTATTCATTTAATTCTATAATATTGGGCTTTTTAGCCGTCCGTCAGGAATTGATTTTCAAAATAAAGTCACCGGAAACAGACGTAGGCCCGGTTCAAGCTCGATGATTTG